CATCTTTGTCTCATTGCAGTACAGTACTATCCTTGTCTTAAATTGGATGATCATGTATTTTTGGATCTATTATTGGCCATAGTTCTGTTGGTCAATTGTCCTTGAATCACAGAAGCTTTTTAAATCATTTACTTTATTTATCTGCTTTGACACTCTGTCATCTCAGTGAAATAAAAAGAAAATAATTGCCCCATACCTGTTAATAAATGTTGCCTAATCATGGATTACATGTGGTAGGGCACAAATTGAGCAATTTATTTTCTGAAAATGGTTCTGTTAGATAGATAGCGAGGGATTCTGGGTCTGCTTCAAACATGAAGGAGAAATAAAGGCTTTTCCAGACAAACAAAAGCTGAGAGATTTCATCAACACCAGACCTCTCCTACAAGAAATGCTAAAAGGAGTTCTTCAATGTGAGAGAAAAGTACATTAATGAACAATAAGAAATCATCTGAAGGTATACTATTCATTGCTAAATTAAGGCACAAATACAGAATACTCTATTTCTGTAATAGTGGTGTATAAACCACTTATATCTTCAGTAGGAAGACTAAAATACAAACCTATCATAAATAACTACAACTTTTTGAGAGAGAGATAGTATGAAAAGATATGCACGGAAACAACAAAAGTTAAAAAAGCAGGGAAGGATAGAGTTAAAAGATAGAATTTCTGTTATATTTCTCTTTGCTTGTTTGTAAGACTTGTCATATGTTTAAATTAATTGGTTACGTTTTTTACAAGCCTCATGGTGACCTCAATTCAAAAAACCTACAACAGATACACAAAAAATAAAGAGCAAGAAATAAAACACTCTACCGGAGAAAATCACTATTAACAAAGGAAAATAGGAAGAAAGGAAGGAAGAAAGGAAGAGAAGACAACAAAACAACCAGAAATCAAATAATAACATGGCAGTAGTAAGTCCCTGCCTATCAATAATAACATTGAATGTGAATGGACTAAACTCCCCAATCAAAAGACATAGAGTGGCTGAATGGATAAAAAACAAGAGCCGACTATATGTTGTCAGCAATAAACCCACTTCACCTATAAAGACACACATAGATTGAAAATAAAGGAATGGAAAAAGATATTCCATGCAAATAGAAACCAAAATAAAGCAGGAGTAGCTATACTTCTAACAGATAAAATAGATTTCAAGACAAAAAGTTTATTA